CTGCTGCATGGCCTTTCTAGCCCCCGGTGCAACTGGAAGGCCCCTGCTGGGACCATCTGATCTGGCAGTGCCAGCTGTAGAAGTGTCCGTTTAAGACAGATGTCCCTGTGAGAAAGCCCTGGAGTTGAGACCTGGCTCTTCCCAACCACTGACCCGCTCTTGCTACTTGTGTGCCGGTCACCCCAGTTTCGGTGAGGACCTTGGAACATGGCATGCTCTCTCTCACCTCAGCCTCACCTCTGCCATCCTTAAAAGGCAGTCCTCATTTCCGTGCTTTCTCGTAGAAGCTTCTGATCCCTCCTGGCACAGCACCTCTTCAGAGAGGCCTTTCCTAACCAGCCCATGAGGATTTTCTTCCTGGTTACTCTCTAGCATGGACTCTGCTTGTCACCTCTACAGAGCCATCCCAATCAGTCTGTGATCATGCATTTACTTAACTAACCTGTTAGTGGTCGCTCCCTCCATCCTCCCCTCCCCCAACTGGAAACACCTCAAGAACAGAAGCGAAGTCTGGCTTTAGATCACTCTCACATCTCAGCTCCTAGCACTGTGCCTGGCATACAGCAGGTGCTCAATAAATAGCTGAATGCATGAGTGGGTCTTCATTGAATGGGCTTCACAAACGGATTTTAGAAATCAGAATACAAGTTAGATACAAGCACCACATGCTATGGCTGCAACTATGTGAATGTCAGGTGCCCACATGAATAGGCTGAAAGGAAACTGGACACTGAACACGCCTGGTTGCCAGGTGTCTCTTTGGGGTGTATGGATAATGGACAGATTTCTCCCCGACTATGGTTGCTCATGATATTTGGAAACAGGCAAGAATCTTTTAAGGAGGCCCTGAGGTCAATCCCAAGGAATCTGTGGTTTCTCCTCAAAGCTTACTTGTCCTTGGTCAGGAGGCACACTGGAGTGAGTGAGTGAGTCTCACAGCCTACAAGGGATACAGCTCCCTTCCTCCGGCCAAAGCAGCCAGAGCCATCTTTCTTAACTCTCAAAACAGTGCCATCATCCGAGCGATGACCTGAATGTCTCAGGATACTGTTCTCACAGTGTTGCTTAAGCAGAAAATGCCAGCCCCGTGGAGCCCAGCAGGATGAGTTTCAGCTTGTGTGTTCAGCAGCTGCAGCAGCAAAGTAGCCAGCTCCCACTCACTGAGCACCTACTAAGTGCCAAGCATGGCGCTGTGAGCTTTACACATTATCTCATTTGAGCTCCGTGGAAAGTCTTTTAGAACCATGTTTTCGTTTTGGTTTTATTTTTTTGAAAGAGGGTTCTCACTCTATCGCCCAGGCTGGAGTGCAGTGACACGATCAGGGTTCACTGCAGCCTCGACCTCCCAGGTTCAAGAGATCCTCCCACCTCAGCCCCTCAAGTATCTGGAACTACAGGTATCTGCCATCACGACTGGCTAATTTTTTTTTTGGATTTTAGTAGAGACAAGGTCTCGCTATGTTGCTCTGGCTGGTCTTGAACTCCTGAGCTCAAGTGATCTTCCCACCTCGGCCTCCCAAAGTGTTGAGATTACAGGTGTGAGTCACCACATTCAGCCCTAGAACCATTTCAAAGGTAAGGCTACTGAGCCTCACAGGCATGAAGACTCTGGGGAAGATTACAAAGCTGATTACTCCAATAATGCCAGCGGCTGCAAAATCAAATGTCAACAAGACAGGGCGGCAGCACACGGGTGAGCACAGGCCCTGTCTATAGGCCCCTGCACCCTGGCCTCCAGCCCAAAGCAGCAGCTGGGGCTGGGGAAGCACTCGGTTTGCAAATGGTGGCAACCAATTCTATTAAAAGGAACAATACAAAGTACTTCTCTGTTAGAGAGAGGTATTTCTAGATGTAATAATATGAAGTCTTCCATTTGCTTTAACACACTGTGTGGGTGGATGGTATATTTTAAATAGACAGATGGAAGGGCAGATAAAACAAAAATTAGCTAAATGGTAAAAGCTGTTGAAGCTGAGGGCTGGGTATATGGGGATTCATGATGCTATTTTCTCTAGAAATCGACTCTTTTTTCTAGTTCCTCCCCTCTTCCCTTCCCTCCCTTCCCCTTTCTTCCTCCAATCTCTCCCTCCCTTCAACTTCCTTCCACTTCCCTCCCTCCCTTCCTCCCTCTCTCTCTTCCTTCCCACCCCAGCCCCCCATCACTCCAGCAGATGTGGCACATGTGGCTGCCAGTTCCTGACCTCTGCCCTCTGCCACTTTCCTCTCTAGTGAAAAACAAAACGGACTTCACTTGAAGTGTGACCAGTTTGCCTCTTTCCTGAGTGGTGGCCACTTCTTTGATGGTCCCCATGAGGAGCCACCTTTTATGCCAGAGTTCGGCTGTCACACCCAGCCGAGAGACCTGCTGCTGGTCAGCAAGCACTTATGGTGGCTTCTGGGGAATATCCTTCATGCTGTCATTTCTCACTGAAGTGTGACAAGGGCAGTGAATACGCTTTATGCCACTTCTTCCTGCTGTGTGGAGACAGCACTCCTTTAAGCCTACCAGACCACATTGAGTCAGGTAAACAGTGAGCAGTCCCTAACATTTCTCCCTGAGTCAGCTTTCTCAAGTTCATCAGGGAGACAAAAACATGCCCAGCTTCCAGCCATGCAGCAAGCAAGAATGGCTTCACCTGTCCTTCACCTCTATTTTGTATACACAGAAGGCATTTGGTCAGATTGCAGAGTAGGGTGATTTTCCCCCTCAAAGGAAGGTGAGGAGAAGCTCCAGCATTTACAATCCCTCCCTCAAAACAAAACAAAACAAAAAAACAAAAACAAACAAACCAACAACACAGGCATATCTTATTCTAGCACCATGTGCTTCCATAATCCCTAGTATTTTCTGAATGTCACCCCTCTTAGCAAAAGACATAATTTGCAATCAGGCTGGGCAAAGACAAACAGCCATTACTTTCTTAATGGCCAACTACCCAAAAAGGCTCAGTTAAGTGATCTCAACTAGCAATCTAATCAATTAAAATTGGTAAATGAAAAACTTTTAACCTTTACTCCAGCAGGCCATTCCTAGGGGGAGGAGGGAAGGAATGTGAATTCCCAGCATAAAATTTAATTCCATTTCAAGGGTGCAAACATTTTTGCTGCCCTGATGAAGTGCCCCCTCCCCACCCCCACACCTCACCCAAAGCAAGCTCTTTCTCTCCTTGAATCAAATCAGAGAAAGGCTGGTTATGATTCTTTGCAGTCAACTTGATCAATTTAAACCCTTAGAGAAATCCCTGTGGTCATTTCTCAAGGGTGAAAGGGCCAAAGGAGATGGGCAGCGGGCAGAGAGGCGTCACAGCTGCTTTATTCTTCCAAGAAAGGGAAAGATAAAACGTAAACAAGAAGGCCAGAAAAAGACACTAGACAACCAGGTAACACACAATACGCATTCACTGAGAACCTCTACGTGTCAGGCAGCATGCTATGCTCCTCACACGCATGACCTCCTGCAATACTGACTACAGTTTGCTGAGTACAGTTACACGGTAGGCACTATGCTTGGTCATGTGATATTTCGTATTCTATTTCATTCAATCCTGAAAACAATTCTGTACTTTAAGAAAGACCGTCTCATTTTACAGGAGAGGAAATGGAGGCTGTGGGGGTCTAGTCATTTGTTCAAGGGAATACAAAGCAGGGTCTAGATCACAACTCTATAGTTTTGTCAAAACTCATTGAATTATACACTAACACTTGGGGAATTTTTTTGTATGTAAATTATACCTTAATAAAGCTGATTTAAAACAGCAACAACAATGCTACAGAGAGTGGCCCTGTGCTGTTTCTGCCCACCCAGCCACCATCCCTTCTTTGCTGATTTTCCTTTGAGGGCCGCCTCTTCCCTCTCTCAGGTGATGGGGTTCAAAAATAACTGGCCCTCCCTCCCAGGTCCAGGGCTGGGCATGCAACCCCAGCTTAGACAATCAGTGAGTCACATTCCTCTGACCACTGGCTGGTTCAGGGATGGTCACGTGGCCCAAGCTAGGCTAATAACAGCTCTACCCAGACTTTTAGAGAATTAAAGGGAAAGAGAAGCTCTCTTTCCATCAGATTGGCTGAACAAATCTTGGGGCTGCTGATGGCCATCTTGTCACTACCTGGGAGAGCCCTCCTGAGGATGAACAGAGGAAAGCAGAGTTGAGAGATGGACGAGGGCAGCTTCCTGAGGACACTGTCTGAGCACCTGGATCCAGCCATGCCTGAAGGTAGCTTACTCCTGGACTTCCCAGTGACATCAGTCAATTTCCCTCTCTTTTCCTGAAGCCAGCTTAAGTTGGATTTTCTGTCTCTCATGACCAAAGACTCCTAATATACCACAATGCCCTTAAGAAACAGAAAACCATGCTGCTCATTAGAGTGCCTGTGCCCTGTAGCAAATGGAGGAAAGAGAAAGCTATACAAATACGAGAGGGGTTCCAGGAACATGGTCAGGCTTTATGCCCATTGTCTCCTTTAAAGGTCAGCCTCATGCTGCAGATGAGAACAATGAGGCACTACACAACAGAACAAGGAGCTCAAGGTTACGGGCTGAGCACATGGTTCTCCAGCCTCCAAAACCTTCATCCTTACCTAAACACAGGTGATTTGCTTTTTACAAGTTTCTTTCTTTAGCAGCAGAACACTTTTATCATTGGAATCATACAGAAAACGCTTAATATATAAAACCAACCAAACTGATGCCACTATGTTTATAGGGAGGGCAGGAACCCTGGAGTTTGTTCACCCTTGCTTGAGCCCCCAGTTGCTCTGCAGATACTTTTTAGAGAACCAGCTGGTTGTGAAAGCAGAACCCTCAAACTGACCTCAGAGAACCCAGGGGCCTTTTCCTCAAAACCTGCATGGGACATGCACACCGCTGGCTCAAGGTCACAGCTCACAGTACAGAATGCAGGTTGCACACTGACCCTCCCAGTGGCATGTGAATCAGCAGAGTGGTGTCCCGTGTCCCATGTACCCCAGCCCCCTGCTGTGACTCAGAGCAGCCAACTCACTCAGATCCAGGACATCATCAGTCTTGATCAGGTCCTCCTCCCGGGTCAGCGGCAACTGTGTCTCCGGCTCCCCTCGCAATTGCAGTGACAGAGAACGCAGCATGAAGAATACCCGGATGGCCTGGACCAACAGTTCAGAGAGCAGAGAAGAGTGAGACTGCAGAGTCATTTTAGCGAGATGCCCTACATCAAGAAATGACACAACGACTCTCTATTAAAAAAAAAAAAAAAGAAAGAAGCACGATAAAGCCCACCTCTTTGGGTGTTGTGATCCTGGTACTTCCTTTTATAACAAAACAAACAAAAAAAAATTCAAAGGCGGAGTAACCTGTTTTCAGTTATCCACAGGTTCAGGTTTGGGTTACTTTACCTGAACTGAGCACCTATCATCTGCCAGGACCTTGTCCCCAAGTATCAGGTGACCTTCATAATAGCCCTGCCCAGCAGTCAGCCCCATTTCACACACCAGGCAACTGAGACCTAAGAAGGTGAAGTGACCTGCCCCAGGCCATGCTTCCAGCAAGGGCTAGACCCTAAGTCTGTCCCAACCAAACCAGCATGGGCTCTGGAAAACCCAATCACTCCAAAAGCATTTCAAGGTTCTACCTACTGAATATGGGGGTGGGGCAGACAGAAGAGGGTGAAATGAAATGCCTGTGGGCTGCAGGGCCTGAGACCGGAGGAAAATCCTACCCCCGGGTGAGTCTCTTCAACTCCGGGTCCCTTAGTCTTACAACAGTGAGTGTGCTGCAGTGACCTTGGTTCCGTAAATACCCCTCAGGCTTTCCCAGCCAGCAGAACAGGGGCAGAGACGATCCACCAGCACAGGGATTCCTGGCCCATGGAAGTGGTGTCTGGTCAGAATTGTGTGGCCACCAGGTACTTTCAAGGAGCAGAAACAAAGCAGAGTCCCAGCAGCCGGAGGAGTGTGTGCAGAAAGCAGCCTCCAGCCCCCAAACAGGCTTGCCCACCAGCCAGAGCCTGGAAGCAGAGGGGCAGTCCACAGAAGAGGCCACCTGCAAGCCTCTCCCCGTGATGCACAGCTGCTGGGCCTGACTGAGGGTGCAGTGCCCGATGGGGACAGCTCCAGAGTCAGACACTCGAGGTCTACATCGGATTCCCAGCTGCACTAGGTTGGGCAAGTCCAGTCCCCTGACTTCTGTGAGCTTCCTGTTCCTCATCTGTAAAATGGGCATGATAGCTCGCAGGCCTGCTAGGAGGTTCTGAGATAACGCAGGAGGGAAATCAGCCAGCACAGTAGGGTGGCGGGGACAAACCGCTGTCACCACTACAGAGCTGCAAAGGTGAATCCCAGTGCACCTTTGGGTCTTCTTGTTCATGGCTCGGAGGGCTGCAGTGTGGACCTAGGTGAGGGGAGGTGGCCTCTATACAGCAGTGGGCCTCCCAAAACTGGAAAGGGGCCAAATTACTGTCTGAAAAGAGGCGCACTCACACTGCCTCCTCATACCCCAGGCAACGAGGAGCTAGTCAGCCTGCCTGCTTACACCCAGTGCTGCTTTGGGCCCTAACCAGTGGGAGACTTTGGAACAATTTCCTAATGTTGAAACTGGAAGAGCAATCCTATCTCCTGGCCCTATGCTAAGGCAGCGCAGTCCTCTGTAAACTGTAAACCACTGGAGAAAGATCAGCTCTTATGTTACAATGATGATGGTCGTGGTGGTAGCATTCGTATCTGACTGTTAACAGTTTTTAAAAGTACAGTCTTCGTAAAGACATCTGTAACAATCAGAAGAAAAAGAAGTGTAGTTCCATTAAAAAATTCAAAAGAACTTCTATTAAGCAACTATGGGGTGGCAAGAACTGTGGGCACCTTATTGTAACTTGAAGAGTTTATGGAGGAAGAAACAGAGCTGAGAGGGGCAGAGTTATTTCAGCTCACACATCTGCTAAGTGGCTGAGCTGGGTGTGAACTCAGGAACGTATGACACGTGTCACTTAACCAAGTGCACCAGGAAACTTAAACATCCAAGGCAGCCCAAGTACAGAAAGCCCAAGACGTGGGTGGTCACTTGAAATATTTGGCAGCTTGAGCTCTCAGATAAGGAGTCATTACCACGGAGTCATGACCACGAGGATGAGGAAGAAAGGAAAAGGCCCATGACATCCAGGTCCAAGTCAAGGAGACACTCATTTCTGTGCCCAAACCCCCGCTTCTCTCAGGGTTCTGAAGGCAAATAACTCACGCAGGACCAGAGCGGGTTGGCTGAGAAAACAGAAACATGTGGCTTTCTGCAGCCCATCACTCTGAAAAACTGTAACCTTCCAATAAATACTTTAAAAGTTCAGAATTTGGCTCCCAATATAGGCCAATATCTGCTTTTGCCCTGCAAACAACACATGGATAACAATCGTCATCATAAACATAAAATAGAATATAAAACACACACAGTCGGCTCTCTGTATCCACGGGTTCCATATCTGTGGATTCAACCAACTGTAGATCAAAAATACTAAAAAAAAAAAAAAAAGTTGCATCTGTACTCAACTTGTACAGATTTTTTTCCTTATTATTCCCTAATCAATACAGTATAACAAACTATTTACATAGCATTTACATTGTACTCTGTATTATAAGTAATCTAGAGACGATTTAAAGTCTACAGGAGAATGTGTATAGGTTATATGCAAACACTATGCTGTTTATATAAGGGACTTCAGCATCTGTGGATTTTGGTATCCTTGAGGGAGTCCTAGAACCAATTCCCCATGGATACCGAGGGACGACTGTACAATAAAATCCCTCAATGTTTTTCCTGGTTCCTGCCCCAACTCCTGAGAGAAGGAAGGACACATGAGAAGCCATGCCCATGAACGTGAGGAGGGGCGATTCCCACAGGGCAGGGAGCTCCACTCGAGGCAAAACCTGGGCTCCCGTTGGGGCAGGGCGGTTATAAGGGCCTGGTAGGCACACTGGGCAGCCCCACAACTCTGTGAATTCACAAAAGAAAGCTAAACTATGAGCTTAAGAGCCATAAAATTCACCCCACCACCCCCAAAACAATAACCACTCTCTGATTCCCCATGGCCTGCCGGGTACTACGCCAGCTGTACAGTGTCGTCTCATTCAAGCCTTTTAATGACCCTGTGTGGTTCCTATTTTACAGATGGGGAAACCAAACCCGAGCAATGACAGGCAGCCTGCCCCAGGTCACTCAGTGAATAACTGGATTCCAAGGTCTGTGTTCCTGCAACCACACTCCTTGACCTCCAAAAGATTTAAGGCTTGGGACCCGGGGTTTTATTGAGTGCTTTTCTTCGCTAAATAAAGATGCAAATTTAAAACTATTATTAAAAAGGAAAAAGAAATTATTATTCTTTCAGATTCTTCCATAGAATATCAGGAAAGACGGACCCAGGAAGAACAGGCTAGACTGTGAAAAGGATGACAGCTGACCAAGCTAAAATAGAAAGAGATGTCTCCAGTTTCTTTGCTTCAGTGAGTCTGGAAGCAAACTCTGGCAAACTCACAGTCTCCGGGGAATCAGTCCAATGAGCAGGGGAAGGTGGGTGGCTCTGTAGTTGGACACACTGTGGCTCAAGCTGGGGCTTGGTAATCGCATGAATTGCCCAGGCCAGGCTTATGCTCTGGAAATGGGGCACCCACCATGCAGGTACAACGGGATGGCACTGGTGATGTGCTGAGCCCAGGAGCTGGCCTGGAACAAAGGCTTGGTTTTCACCCTCCTGCTTCCTTGCTCATGTGCAAGCTGCCTAGTTTAGGCGACAGTCACTCAGGTTAGAAGCCCACTGAGGCCATGTAGCTGTGAAAGTCAGTCATTCTTAAAAGAGTGCCAAAGCAGTTTAATGTGGGCACAACCCATCGGGAAAGCAATTTGGCAATATGCAGATAGTCATGAAAAAAACACGTTCATACCCTTTGAACCAGAAATTCCACTTCTGGGAACTTATCCTAAAGAAATAATTCAAGAGAAAGAAAAACACTGTATTCATGAAGCTGCTCATTATAGTTTAGTTGAAAATAATGTAATACTGGAAGCAACCAAAATGTCTACTTGCAAGAAAATGCCAGATAAACCTTTATGAGGCCATAAGAAATCAGACTTATTTCAACTATGGCAACATGAAAACTTCTTGTGCTACGACGAAAAGAAAAAAAAGAAGGGATGAAAGCAAGACCATGGTACACTCTCTTTACAGACAAAGATAGGAGGAGCACAAAAGATGTCCAAGTATTGTTTGTTTAGGGTGATGAAATCATGGGAAATTCTTTTCCCTTTACTTTTGAAATTGTAGGAGATGCTATTGTATTTTCTTTAATATGTAATACACATCGAAAAAGTAAAGCAAAATATTCTATTTCCTCAAGGCCAATAGTGATAAACACAAAAACTGCTTGTGGTTTTACAAAGGAACAGGGAAACAATCTGGGGACAAATAAAACCTCGTGCAAATACGGGTGTTTCATAGCCGCTTCCAAGATGACTATATACAGATGGCTAGTGGCTTAAACTTGGATTTTGATATTCACCAAAAAATCCTGTTCCTGACTCTCTTTTCTCTGGCATTAAGCTTCGGTAGATTTAGATCGTGAAAGACCCTATTTCTTTCCCACCTTACATACCAGACTGCTCCATTTCTGTTCAGACAATGCTTCCTGAGCGCTTAATGTCTGCCAGGCCCTGGGCTTGTCACTTCGCAGCCACGCTCTTCTCTGGGCAACAGCTGAGAGGCAAGACCCATGAGGGACCTGAGGCTCCGGGAGGGTGAGTGACTCACTCAAGGTCATGCAGCTGGAGTTGGGATTTGACCCACGGTTGGTCTGACACCACAGTTTTCCTTCTTCACCGCTTCTCTCAGTTCCCCCTACATGTGGGGTGGGTCCAGCCTAAGCCTGAAGTTCTACTTGAATGTTCTCACTGGACCCCAATAGCTCCAGTGACCTTCATTTCAACATGAATTTCCCTTCTCAGCTGGCATGGCTCAGTGGCACCCTTGCTGTTTTGGTCTTATTTTATATTACTTGTTCACCATCTAGTCTTGCATCTTACTCAGAGCCTGATACCTAGAATATGTTCAACAATTATGTTGAAAGAAAGAGTAAGTGATGTGGTTTTTAAAATGCAAGAGGGGGCTGGGCATGGTGGCTCAAGCCTGTAATCCCAGCACTGTGGGAGACCAAGTCGGGTGGATCACCTGAGTTCAGGAGTTTGGGACCACCCTGGCCAAAAGACTGGGGACACTCAGTCTCTATTAAAAATACAAAAAAATTTTAAAAATCAGCTGGGCATGGTGGCTCATGCTACTCTAGAGGCGGAGGCAGGAGAATCACTTGAACCTGAGAGGTGCAGGTTGCAGTGAGTCGAGATCATGCCACTGCACTCTAGCATGGGTGACAGAGTGAGATGCATCTCAAAAAAAAAAAAAAAAAAAGCAAGAGGGAAAACGGCGTTATGGTGAGATGCCTCCCAACAGCCTGCAAAGCGCTGCCACCATCCTCTCCTGTCGCTGCCCCTGCCTCTACCTCACTTACTATGCTCCTTGAACATGCCACCCTTGGTGGCATCTCAGGGACTGGACGTGTGCTGTTCCCTGTTTGGAAAGTGCCTCCTTTATCACTTTAACCTTCCTGGCTCCTCCTCATCCCCCAGGTTTCAGCTCAGATCACCTCTGCAGAGCAGCTCTTCGGATCACTCTATCTGCAGGAGGACCGCTCCTCAGCCCCTGGCTACGGCATGCTTTCTTTCCTCCAGAGCTCTGACTGTGGGTTGGTACCAAACCTGCTATTCTCTTACTTGCTAATAAATTTTACCTCTCTAGGTAAAAAGAGCGGTCCAGAAGGCAGGGGCGTGTGCTCGCTCATTTCTTCACTCCCCAGGCTAACACAGTATTTGGCATATAGCAAGAATCTAGCAGCTCTTTGATGAATCTATGAATATTTAGGAGCGATTTGCCAGTAAGAATTGTTTGAACTTCCTTGACAAATCCTTAAGGAAAATAAAGGGTGGAGTTTCTGAAAAGGATCAGCCTCCTTTAAAAAGTCTACTTGGTGGAAAAAAAAAAAAAAAAGAAAGAAAACCTTTGAATCCAAAGGGGTAGCTTGGAATGTTCTTTGGATACAAGCAAAAAACTTGAAACGAACCACATAAGCCCTCAATTGCTTGCTAAACCATGTAACTTCCTTTAGCTCAAATTCAAAGCACATTGGTGTGTTCTGATTTCTGAAGCAGGCTTGAGGAGCTAAGCTTCTGGATGATTCCAGATGGCTCCCTTGCAACAGGAACCGTAGTGAGACGAGTGGCCAAAGCTACCCTTCAGAAAGAAATTCTTAAAGTCACAAAGGAAGCTTTTCTAAAGTGGATGCCTTGGCTTTGAGGTAGCCTGGCCTCTTTTATATCATTCTGCTACCCAGGGACCCTGGGAGGACTTAAGAGTTGCTTTTGGAAACTGGTCAGACAGGCAAAGAGCCTCTAGGGAAGCTGAGATATTCCAGGTCTCTGTGCTTCAGCTAGCCACTTGGGCTGTGCATCCTGTCCAGGACAAGGGAGGTGGGCAGCACAGCCCTGGGAACCTGCAACTATGTGACATGTGAGGGGCAAAAAGACTATCATCAAGACCTGCCATTGGCTTGCTGCTGAGTCCTCACAATAACTCTGGAAAGGCAGGCACATTTTACCTGACAGATGAAGAGACAGTAGCTCAGAGTAGACAGGAAGCAACCTCCCTTCCACCACATGCCTGACAAACTCGCCCCTGCATTTCTCCCATCTCTCGCCTGTGTATCAGGACCATCCGCCCCAGCCCAGCAGGGCATAAGGTCATGAAACAGTGTTAAGAGGTGACAGCCAAGGCTCTCAAGGGGCTCCAAGGCCCCCGTGATCTGGCTCCTGCCAGCACCCCCATCCTCATCACATCCCACTGTGGGCTCCAGCTGCAATCACTGCCGTGGAAGTGCCAGAATGTCACCTGTCTCTGGGCCTGTGTCTCCCTATCTGGTGCCTGTCCCACTTCCTGCTCCAGGTGAGATTAGTGATCTGATCTAATGCTGCTTGAATAACGGCCTAAGCCACATGGTCTGCCACTGTCTCTTCCCACTTTGCCCTCCAGGCTCTCATTCCTTCAGGACTGGGGCTGTTTTTGATGTCCCAGTGTCCTGAGCAGAGCTAGCAGATCTGAAGAAGGCAGCGTGGGAAGCAGCAAGTCAGAATGCCTAAGAGTCTAGGTTCTGGGCGCCACATTGCCTGGGCTGACTCGTGGCTCAGCTACTCACTAGCTGGGTGACCTTGAGCAAATCACTGGACCTCTCCATGCATCAATTCCTTCCTCTGTGGGCAGGACGTGGTGGTTCATGCCTGTAATCCCAGCACTCTGAGGCTGAGATGGGTGGATCGCTTGAGTCCAGGAGTTCAAGACCAGCCTTGGCAACATGGCAAAACCCCACCTCTACAAAAAATACAAAAATTAGGTGAGTGTGGCGGCACACACCTGTAATCCCAACGACCCAGGAGGCTGAGGTAGGAGGACCTCTTGAACCCAGGGGGCAGAGTGTGCTGCAGTGAGCCAAGATGGCACCACTGCACTCCAACCTGGGTGACAGAGCAGGACCCTGTCTCAAAAAAAAAAAAAAAAAAAAAAAAATTCTTCTTCTGTAAAATGGGGATAATAATAGTGCCAATCTCCTAGGATGGTTATAGAATTTAATGAGGAAATTCACCTAAAGAACGGATTTGAATTGATCTACTTCATAGCAGAGGCTGTATGTTCACAGAAGTGGTAAGAAAAATCCTGATGAACTGTGAACCAAAAGAAGGTAGAGTGTGGGTCGGGTGTGGTGGTACACGCCTGTAATTCCAGCACTTTGGGAGGCCAAGGCAGGAGGATGGCTTGAGGCCAGGAGTTCAAGACTAGCTTGGGTAACTTAGCAAGACTTCATCTCTATAAAACATTTGAAAATTAGCTAGGTGTGGTAGCTTATGCATGTAGTTCCAGCTACTGACGCTGAGGTGGGAGGATGGCTGGAGACCAGGAGTTCGAGGCTGCAGTGAGCTACAATAGCATCACTGCACTCCAGGCTGGATCACAGCTCACTGCAGCCTCAAAAAAAAAAAAAAAAAAAGAAAGAAAAAAAGAAAGGCAAAGTGGAATCCAGAGCAGCAGTGCTCAGCGTTCACTCCTCTGGACAGGAGGGATCTCCCAGGCGGGGCCTTCTTGGCACAGGATGCTGTAGCCCCGGCTGGGGGTGAGCATGTCAGCATCACGAAGCAACACATACACATCTGTCAGAACCGGTCCTCCAGTGAAAGCTGATGCCAGGACGTCCAGTGCAAACGCTGCCACCCACAAACAGAATCGTGCGCCTGGCTGGGAGCACATGGAAGGAAGACGTCAGCGGCCCGGACGGGTGGGTCCTGCGGTGAGGTTTGTGGGTTTGGTCAGACAGTTGGAAATGTGGATTGACTCAAGACACATGGGTCCCACTTCCTCTGCACCCCCAGGCCTCCGAGGTAGAATCACCAGCTGCGGGGAGGAAGGTTCAGACTCCTCGTGTCTGAGGTGCAAATGACAGGTCATTCCTGCTTTGCAAAATCCAAAAGTGAAACACCTCTGTCACACATGAATAAACTCAGACAATACAGGCTGACAGGGGGAGCTGCGTGCAATGAATTCCTCTAAACTATCCACAAATATTCATGTCTCCAGGGAATGATTTTCTATGGAAAAGGTGATGGTGCTTTCTAAGAAAGAAACTCTGATCTTACCCGGGAGATAAAATACCATGAACACCCTTGTGGAGACTGCTTCCTAGAGTGCCTGCTTCGGAAAAAAAGGGCTGATAACAGAAGCGCACGCTGCAGCTGGTTCTGAGAACTAATCTTTTCACGCATATCTCTCCTGCAGGCTGGCGAGATTCACATTCCATTTGACTGTGGCCCAAGAGCAGGTAGATGCCTTAACATCGCACTGTCTCTGAGGGTCCTGAGACCGCTGAGCTAAGATTTCACACCAACCTCACCCTCCACGGTTCACAGAAACCTGGCCCCACTGGCTTCCACTCCTGAGCTCAGGGCTTGAGTCTGTCTGCACTGGTGAAGGCTACCTCTCTGCAGCCAACATTGGGTGCCAGATGCAACGGAATGCCAAACCCCACTTTCCAAAGGGCAACATGCTTTGGAAAGTCATGCCTGGGGGCAAGTGTGAACTCTCTATCTGCGTCTAAGCTGTGTTGAGGGCAAGCTCCTGACTTTGACAAAGACGCCCTTTCCTCCCTGGTCTGGGAGTGTTTCTAGAGAACAGTGGCCCAGGAGATGACAGGTCCTGCGCTCACTCACCCGCCGGGTCTTCTCCACATCGCCACACGGCAGCCGCTTCACAAAATCAATGCCTGTCAGCGGTGTGCCTGTCGGGGGCAGCAGGATGGAGGCATCCATCATGAGATATTCCACGTTCATGGGCTTCATCTAGAAGAGACATTACAGGAAACCTCAAAGCAGGCCCCTTACTTGGGAGGAAGAAGAGGCCTGGGAAGGTTACACAGGCCTCTCACCTTTACCTGCATTTAGTAAATGTAAATGAGTGATCTAAACCCTGGATTTAGATTGAAGTAAAGCACAGAGGCAGCCAGATAAGGGAGCAATATGCCTTTTGGTTTTCTAAACTGGTGATTTTTCCTTTAATTGAAACAGCAGCTCAGACTCTTGAGAAGCTGCATCCTTGCTGTGAAAAGCTCGTTCCTCCTCACATTCCCTCTCCACCTCAGCAGGGACAGGGATTCTCAGCAGGAGGCCAGGTATGCTTTACCCCTGTGGGTGCAAGCCCATCTGCCACCTGCCTTCTCCTCGCTGTCCTTCCAGTGATGATAACAGCTGTGCGATGGCAGCTTCTGTTTAACAAGAGCTGATTCCGCGGCACGCTGTGACCTAAAGGCTTTTGAGGAGCTGCTTCCCACTTTGCTGATGAGGGAACAGAGTCTCAGAGAAGCAGAAAAATGGATCCAAGGTCACTCAGCTGGTGGGTGGCAGAACCAAGACATGAGCCCAGGCCTGTCTTGCTCCAGGGCCTCTGTGATTCTCACCCTAGGACCAATGTTTCCCCTTCCTTCCTTGTCCCCTTCACATCTTACCTGGGATAATATAACATAATCATTTTTGGAGCATCTACTAACTACCAGGCACGTGCTGGGGTCATCTCCTGCTGGACGGCAGGTGCTGGTGGCTCATCATGAAAGGGACACTGAGCTCAGAGGAGGAAAGGCACATGCCCACGGCCACTGGGCCAGAGCTGACTGCCTCTTTCCACACCACCTCTGCGAAGCCTTCTTTGATGACTAAGACACAGGGTGACATCCCCTACCTGCCACCCCTCCCAGATCTCTGCTGCATCAGTAGTAGTAATCAATGCACACGTGTTGCTGAACACTAACACTTCATTTCCCTGGCTTCACAGAGGAAGGATAAGCTTTCTGCAGAATTCGTTTTCCTCTTTCAAACATGACAAACTTTCCTTGTGTCTTCTCTTTTCAGAAAGTGGGCTTCAAACATACCGCTTTCTCCCTCCTGCTAGGTAAAGCTGACTACACAGGGCAGGGATGTAGTGACAGCCCAGCGGCCCAGATACCTGGTGCTATGGTTTGAACGCATCCCAAAAAGTTCATGTATTGGAAACTTAATCCCCAGTGTGACAGTGCTGAGAGGTAGGGCCTAACAAGATGGGATTAGGTCTCATGAATGGAGTAAGGTCATTATTGCAGGTGTGGCTCCATGATGGTGACAGTGAGTTTGTTTTAAGAGCGAGTTCTGTTCTCTCTTTCTCTGTGTCTTGCCCTTCCACCTTCCACCATGGGATGATGTGGCAAGAAGGCCCATCCGCCTTCCACCATGGGTAATGTGGCAAGAAGGCCCTCGTCAAATACTGGCACCTTGATATTGGACTTCCCGGCCTCCAGAACTATAAGAAATTTCTTTTCTTTATAAATTAGTCTGTGGTATTCTGTTATAGCTGCAGAAAACAGACTGAGACACCTGGTGAACAGGCCACGGGGCCAAGGAGCCACTTGGTGCATGCTGCTTGCCTTTTTCTTTTGGACACTTTGAGTACTTTCCTCCAGAAGCCCGAGGTCCCCCACTCCAAATCCTCTAACCCAGCAAGGGTGGCAGCTCCATTCCCCTCTACTCCTGCTGCCCCCTACAACCTTCCCAATGAACCCCTCAAGCCTGCTGGGGGCAGAGCTAGGCCATCACTTCACTGAACCTTTTGCATTAAACCAGAGGCAGTAAGGGAAATGAAGGGTCACAAGTCATGGCCTGACTTTGGTACAGCGGCCGGCCTCCGAGGGCCTGTCCCTACCCCCTTCCACTCAGAAGCTGCATTCCTGAAGGCTGAGGACTGATTTTCAGATACAGAGAGAGGGTGTAGCACCTTTGTATTTCTCTGGAATGCCAGGCATTGTATAGGACACACAATACATGCTTGATTAAAACAAACCATCAATCAAACAAATAAAACCTTGGAAGTTCCCCATGGTGGGAGGGGGAGGAAGCATTTGTTGTGTATGGACCCATGAGGATTTGTTGTTGTGTATGGACCCATGAGGCCTCTTGCTGGCTATTTCATATACAGCCTGGGCAGCTCCGAAGTAGGGATCCCCCACCTTATGGATTAAAAAAAAAAAAAAATCGCCAGGCGAGGTGGCTCACACCTGTAATCCCAGCACTTTGGGAGGTCGAGGCGGAGGGATCACGAGGTCAGGGGTTCGAGACCAGCCTGGCCAACATGGTGAAATCCCGTCTACTAAAAATACAAAAATTAGTTGGGCGTGGTAGTGGGCACCTGTAATCCCAGCTACTTGGGAGGCTGAGGCAGAAGAATTGCTTGAACCCAGGAGGCGGAGGTTGCAGGGAGCTGAGATCGCGCTACTGCACTCCAGCCTGGGTGACAGAGCAAGACTCTGTCTCAAAAAAAGAAAAAGAAAAACAAAAAAAAAAAAATCAGAATTTAAGCAATGCACTCAAGGCTGCATTGTCAAAAACAGACACTGAGCAGGGGTTTAAGAGCCCAAGCTCTCCCACGTGGTTAAGTGCCATAGGAGCCTGACATTTCCAAACAGGAAACCAAACTGTAAGGAATGACATTGCAGGGGGATGTCTCAGCGGTAAGAGGAAATGGCAAACGACAAATGAATCCCTTCCACTCTAAGGAATGGTCTGAAGGGTGGAAGACTGAGTCACTCTTGAAGGGGCTGGGAGGGGCTGTGGATGCACAGCCCACGGACACCTTTCCCTTGAAAAGGCTCCATGGAGGCCTCAGACACACAGTGACAAAGGACGTGGTGAGGGCCCGGCTGTCCAGATTCCCGGGGAACAGGCTGTGAAGCCAAGGAGCCAATTAGTGCACGCTGCCTTTTTCTTTTTGACACTTAAAACACTTAGGTTTATTATAAACTTCCCAAATCACACACGCTTTGGTGGGTAATATTCACAAGAAGGATAATTTATCATGTACTTAATGGAGTACCTAGCCAAGGGCAGGTGCTGGGATACAAAGACAAATGCACAAAGCAGCGAAAGCTGGGATCTTCTGAACCTATGGCTTCCTGTGATTCTGCCTGCCGGAGGAGGAAGGAATCCCGTGTGCTGGCACTGCAGACTGGAGGAAGAGCTGCATGCTGGAACATTCCAGGAGAGCAGCAAACAGAGAGGCAGGGATATAATACATGGAGAAGGACAGGGGATGCGGGGGTGGGCTGTCCTCTTCCGGAAGCCTGGCTCCGCCACTCACCGGCCAGGCAGACTTGGGTACATCACTAGACCTCTCTGACTCAGTTTCCTCATTGGCAAGTGATATGGTTTGGCTCTGTGTCCCCACCCAAATCTCCCCCTGAATGGTGAGACACGTGGGAATTCCCACGTGTCAAGGGCGGAACCATGTGGCGGTAACTGAATCATGGCGGCAGTTTTCCTTATACAGTTCTCATGATAGTGAGTGAGTTCTCATGAGATCTGATGGTTTTCTAAGTGTCTGGCATTTTTTCTCCTTGCATTCATTCTCTCTCCTGTCACCCTGTGAAGAGGTGCCTTCCACCATTATCGTAAGTTTCCTGAGGCCTCCCCAGCAATGTGGAACTGTAAGTCAATTAAACCTCTTTTCTTTATAAATTACCCAGTCTTGGGTATTTCTGCATAACAGTATGAGAAAAGACTAATTCAGCAAGAAAGGGACAATGGCAGTAGCTATTACCGTTGGTTGGTGTGAGGATGAAGAGTTATAATCTGTACAGCATGCTATATACATCCAGCACAGAGTAAGTCCACAAAAAAATGATACTGCCCCCCAAATTACTATTCATAGCAGATAATCGTCCTGACTCATTGGATACCTCCCATCTTAGACGGAACAAATATAATCTGAAATTAACAGTGCTGGGGATCACAAGACACCACTCTAAATCTGCTTCCCCATCAATCTGCTATTTGGTCAGAAAGCCCTAAGTCAAAAAACCCCGTCTGGGATGGGCAGGGTGAGCTTGGCAGGGACACAGGCGCATGCCAGCCCAAGTGTCTCCCAGTCCCTCACTTACTGTCATGCTCCTGTACTCATCTTCAAACATGTCCAAAAAAATGTCTTCTCCCTAAAAAGAAAGGAAAGGAGGGAAGAGGAGATTATTCATATTTTTTTCCATAAACAACAGAGTATTATAAACTCTAGTTTGTGGCTTTAGAGGCCATCTGTTTCTCATTAGTGAGTTCTCGTAAATCACCAGGAAGTAAAATGCACACGTGAACACAAACACACATGCTCAAATGACAGACCAAATATCAAATTGCACTACTCAAAATTTTCTCCTTCCTAAGTATATGGAGTTAGGATTCTTCTGTCAAAGCAGTTAATTAAAAAACAACAACAAAAATACTACTATGTAGGATTAAAATATAGAAAAGACTAATATTTCAAGTGTTTAACATCATCTATTTATCAAGAATGGTTGGAGAAATGGACAATCCCGTTTAAGTTACCATATTAAAGATACGAGGCTCCACACCTCTGGGAGGAGGAGTATAATTAAATAAATTTAACATTACAATTGCATGGCTTGTTCCATTTGTTTTTGAGGAGTGCTTTCGGGGTTATGTCATTCCTCAGGGTCATGACTGCCTGGGAGCGCCCCTTCAGAACAGCATGGTGGGCACAAACTTGGCTCTGAGACACATAACCAAATCCAGTTTTACACCTCTTGCCTCCTTGTTCCACTGCAAGAATGGCATGTCTGTCTGGGGTACTGTGAAGACGAAATGAGTTAATGCACATGAAATGCAAGGAAGCACAGAGCCTGTCACTCAGTTGGGGCTGGGTCAGTGTGAGCACTCACTGTCATGATAATCTCTACTGGACAATGAGCCTTAGAACTGCTGCATCTCTCTCACAGGTTCTGAACGAGACACACACACACACACACACACCTCCCCCCCACACTTGGGGTGGGAAAGGGAATAGATCCTTTTTCGTTTTTTTCAGTTGTCAGAACTACAACTAAATTTGAATATTCTTGTGTGATATAACTATCAACACCAGAAAAGACAATTCCTGAAAACATCTAAAAGCTGCTGAGAAATTATACTTAGGGTATAATAAATATTATGGGATAAAAGTAAGAAAAATCTGGGTTGGGAGAAGGGATCCAGAAATTAAATAAAGCTCTCCTTTTGTTAATAAAGAATAACCCTCTGGGAAAATGCCTACCTATATATCTTTCTGTTTTTGCAATCCAAAAGCTTTCCAGGGGACATAAACTTAGGGCAGTTATACTGGAAAGAGGTTCAAAGATGACTAATGCAACTCTGAGGTTTCTGCTTTCTTGTGGGCTTTGCTAGTGGGGGTGTATCCTCACTTGGAAGCCAAGTGTGGTTTCGGATGTTCTAAGGGGAAAGTGGGATTTCCTCCTTAGTGTGTAGGGGCCCACCACGGTGCCACCCTTGTCTGGGTATGTCCACTGCTGCAGTTGGATGGGGTCATCCGAGCCTGGCAAGGCTGATCTCCAAATTATGTAACCTCATTTTATCTCAACAAACACTGGCAATAATGTAGTGGCTTAAAACGATTCCTGCAAAAAACCAGCAGCTTAAAGAGGGCTCAAAAAACGAAACTACAGGGGACAGCAAGGAAATGGCAGTGTTGCCATCTTCCCCCTGTAAGAGGATCTTCAGCAGCCACGTGCAGAGACCTGATCCAGAGGCCAGCAAACTAGAAAATGACTATTTGACCCATGGATTAATCCACCATGGCTGACGAGTGATGAGCCTTGCCTGAAAGACACATGAGGCTGGCAAGGCCTGAGTGTTTCTGCTCCCTGCCGCGCCCCCCAAATTCGTATGTTTAAATTCGAATTCCCAAGGTAATGGGATTAGTAGGTAGGGCCTTTGGGAGGTGATGAGGTCATCCAGTAAGATGGTGCCATTTATGAGAAAGTGAGCCTTCACTAGATACTGAATCTGCCTTGATCTTGGACTTCCCAGCCTCCAAAACTGACAGAAATAAATATCCTTTTTTTTTGAGGACTCTTGCTCTGTCACCCAGGCTGGAGTGCAGTGGCGTGATCTCAGCTCACTGCAAGCTCCGTCTCCCGGGTTCACGCCATTCTCCCACCTCAGCCTCCAGAGGAGCTGGGACTACAGGCATCCGTCACTATGCTAGGCTAATTTTTTTTTGTATTTTTCAGTAGAGACAGAGTTTCACCATATTAGCAAAAATGGTCTCAATCTCCTGACCTCATGATCTGCCTGCCTTGGCCTCCCAAAGTCCTGGGATTGATTACAGGCGTGAGCCACTGTGCCCAGCCCAGAAGTAAATTTCTATTGTTTATAAGCTACCCAGTTTATGGTGCTGAATGGACTAAAATCAAATCCTTAAAAGCTAAAACAAAACCATGGCAATTAGAATTTTTTTTTTTTTTTTGAAATGGAGTTTTCACTCTTGTTGCCCAGGATGGAGGGCAATGGCGCTATCTTGGCTCACAGCAATCTCTGCCTCCCGGGTTCAAGCAATTCTCCTGCCTCAGCCTCCCAAGTACCTGGGATTACAGGCATGTGCCACCATGCCTGATTAATTTTGTATTTTTAGTAGAGACGAGGTTTCTCCATGTTGGCCAGGCTGGTCTCAAACTCCCGACCTCAGGTGATCCACCCGCCTTGGCCTCCAAAAGTGCTGGGATTACAGGCATAAGCCACCATGCCTGGCTGCAATTAGATATTTATAAAACCACCTGGAACCTGAAGACAAAGCTCTGCAAATTTTTCAGATACTGAAAGTCACTGTGGCACTTTACAAAATCTCAATAAACTTAATAAAGGTTTAGAAGCCTCTATAAGGTTTCTTAGCACATATGTATAAAAATAATATACATGTATATAGTTCATAAATTCATAGGTAATTCGTAAGTAATTTTATATATGTAAGCATATGTAACTCACGAACATAAGCACATCATATATATATAATTTACTTATGTGTGTTTATATGTATGTAGTTCATAATTTACATATAATTATTCCCAAACAACCAAATCCATGTATTACTGAGAAACAAATTGTCATATACTGGGGCTGAGTCCTCAAAAATTTTACTGATAAGACAGCATGGGCAGAAAAAAGTTTAGGTATTGCTGCTCTAGGGACTATGAAATTGAGCATTTTTATTCAGTAATTATAGGCATAAAAAATAACTGAAGACATATAACGTTTATCTGCATAGAACCAGACACCACTTCTGCTGCTTCTACAAGACACACCATGCTGCTGTCCATCTGTGCTCTGTCAATTACCTTATAAAAATGTCGTACAAGGTGAACACTTTCTTCTCTCGCACCCTGTTAAAAGACAAGGAAGGTGTGAAGGAGGCAGGTCTCATCTAGGCGAGCAAGTCAGGCAAACTACAAATTCTAAAACATGAGTACGTATAAAACGGATCTGGACTAATAACCTTAATGCATAAAATGTTTTCTTTTGTTTTTTTTTTCCTTTTTTTGAGATGAAGTCTCACTCTGTTGCCCAGGCTGGAGTGCAATGGCATGATCCTGGCTCAGTGCAATCTCCGCCTCCCAGGTTCAAGCGATTCTCCTACCTCAACCTCCTGAGTAGCTGGGATTACAGGTGCCTGCCACCACGCCTGGCTAATTTTTGTATTTTCAGTAGAGATGTGGTTTCACCACATTGGCCAGGCTGGTCTCTAACTCCTGACCTCAGGTGATCTGCCCGCCTCGGCTTCCCAAAGTGCCGGGACTAGAGGCATGAGCTACCATGCCTGGCCTATAAAATAGTTCTTAATGAGAGAGAGAGGAAAGGAGACAGAGCTCAAAATGAAAATGCGAAAGGATAGGTAATTTGATTGTAATGACATGAGAAGCTGTTAATATACAGTTAATCAGGGGAAAACGGTTACAAATATGGCCATTATGACTCCTTTTTTATTTTACTTTTTCAATACAGTCTCAAACTGTGGCCCAGACTGCAGTGCGGTGGTACAATCATACTCACTGCAGTGTCAAAATCCTGGGTTCAAGCAATCTCCCAGCCTCAGCTACCTGAGTAGCTGGGGCTACAGGCATGTCCTGGCTAACTGTTTTTGTTTTTGTAGAGACAGGGTCTCACTTATGTCCAAGCTAGTCTCAAATTCTTGGCCTTGAGTGATCCTCTCATCTCAGCTTTCCAAAATGTTGGAATTACATGCATGAGCCACTGCACCTAGCCCAACTACATTTGTATAAGACAAAAAGTTCATTTATAAGGGGGTGTGTGTGTGTGTGTGTGTATACAAACATATACATACTTATAAATGAATTTTCATTTACATATATGTAAATAGATGTTTCATTTACATATATTCACATGTTTACATATTTATATATTATATACGTAAATATATACATAGTGTATATTTACATATTGTATATGTAAATATATTCCTTTATGTAATTATTTGCTTATATAATACTTAAATATATTTACATATATAATATGTGTGTGTGTGTCTACATAGACACAGCCAAAGTGTCAACTATAGTTGTTACTTTTACCTCTTTGTACTTCCTAAATTTTCTAAAATAAACATAGAAAATAAGAGGAGGTACCATAAACGCTACTGAAAATTTAATGTATATTTTAAGCACAAAAACCATAATCAATGTGTGTATATGTGTTAGTGTGTTTGTATGTGCTTAAAACTTTTGTAACACCAAAGAAAAAATTCAGAAATCCTGAGGACAAATACAGAACCAAATAAGTGCAGCAGGAACCACTAAAACTCAATTAAGTAGACTCTTCAGCGAGTCTCAGCCGAAAGGAAGTCCCTGCTGAATAAGTAGGTTGGAGTGGGGTCTCAAGAGAGCAGCCCCTGCTGCTTCTAGCTGGTGACCGATGACACCACAGGCCAGGGCTCCTATCTGGATGCCAGCACCTTCCCTTCCATCCTCCTGTCCCTCTCCCTTGGCCCACAGGAAGGAGGAGGGGAGAGGGCGTCACCTCCAGGCAGGCCAGGTGCACGTCCTTCATGATGCAGCCGGCACTCGTCAGGACTTGCTGCTTCAGAAGTAGGCAGCTCAGCTCCAGCGTCGCCAGCCGGATCTTCCCATCTGCAGAGCAAACCAGGGTGAGCCTTGCATACCCAGGGAGCGGCGCCCTTAAGCCCAAGGCTCCTGCCTACCCACGTTGAGGTTAGCAGGTCAGATGATAGACCAACTGCTCATGGCTCCCAACATCCAGTGGGGACACAGAGGGAACCCCCCATGCCAAAGCCATTCCCAATCAGTTAGAATTCAATGTTCTCCATCAAAACTACCTACACCAAATACTTCCCTGAAGTCCCTTTACTGGCAGGGTGCAGGAAAAAGAGGGTGACTAAACACTGTTGAGGCCTAGAGAGTGGCCCTGCACTCCCACTTTCCTTTAGAGAGCCGCCAGTCCCACTCTGGGTCATGTGATTTGGGTGGAGCTGGTCCTCCTTTCCCCTTCCAGGGTTGGGCACATCACCCAGCCAGTTGGGGTGCTCTACATTCCCTTGGTCCCAGTGACTAGGTAAGAACTAGGCAAGGGAGCCAGTCAGAGCCAGTAAGGCTCAACCTCACAATTTGCTAGAACTGCTGGGTAAGAGAAATTCTCCTTGTGCTGGGTTGAGCAGAGGACCGTGGTGAGGCCCTGAGGGGCACAAGCATTATAACCTACATCAGCCACCTCTTCACCCTTGCCAGCATTTTTAATATTTGTAAAGTATTCTGCAAATATCACTTCGAGATCTCTCTTCCAACTAGACTGCTCAAATCTAAGTGTCTCCCATAGAGTAAGTCTAGTGTCTCAGTGGAGAAAGGGCTAGCTGGAGGGGCTGACATTTAACTCATCAACCCAGAAGGTGGCAGAGGCCAAAGGTAGAAAAATACTGTTTGAGCCCCTGGATCCAGCTTTGCCTGAAGCCAGGCCTCAGCAGACTTTATAAGCCAACATAGCTTTGTCTGTTTGTATTGTTTAAGCCAGAGTGAGTCGGGTTTCTGTCAAGTGCAACAGAGCTCTAACACAGCTTACTTATTATGCTATTACTTACTTACTACCGTGAGCCAGGCACAGTGCCGAGCACTTTATATAGCTCCTCAAGGAATCTGTATGAAAACCGATTGCAATGAGTGCTCGAAAGACTGAGGCTTAGGAAAGGGAAGGGACTTGTCCACGGTCTCATCGCTGGGCAGTGGTAGACTGCAGGTGCTCAGAATGCCAAAACCCACGTCTGGCATCTCTCCTAGAAGCATCTGTAACTGACTGACTGAAGGACAACTGCTCTTACGTAAACTCCTCTGTGGGTCTTTCAAGCTTATTTCTGGGGAAAGGTCCCACTGTGGAGAGGAGGAGGTCTTCAGGCTATGCCTCTAAGGCCTTGGAAACATCAGAGACCACGATAGGTCACTGGGAAAAAACTAAAGGCAGATACACCCCTCTGCCCACCTCCCTGCCTCTCCCTTTGTTAATGCCTTGTAAGTCAGGTGAAAATAGGTGAGAAAAGGGGCTCTGCCTAAAAAGTGAAAAAGTAGGCCTGGCGTGGCAGCTCATGCCTGTAATCCCTAGTACCTTGGGAGGCCAAGGTGGATGGATCACCAGGTCAAGAGTTCGAGACCAGTCTGGCCAACATAGTGAAACCCCGTCTCAAATAAAAATACAAAAAATTAGCTGGGTGTGGTGGTGTGCCCCCGTAATCCCAGCTACTCGGGAGGCTGAGGCAGGAGAATCCTGTAAACCTGGGAGGCGGACGTTGCGGTGAGCCGAGATCATGCCATTACACTCCAGCCCAGGCGACCATGCGAGACTCCATCTCAAAAAAAAAAAGAAAAGAAAAGAAAAGAGAAAAAGCACTATCACGAAAAATAGGTCTTCTCAAACATGATACATGCCCCAGGGGCAACCAAGGAGAAGGCTGGGTGGTCTCAGCTCCATCGGCTCTCCTGGCCCGTCCCTACCCAGCCCCAGCACTAGTGTAACCTCTCTTCAGCTGCCTCCTCCAAGTGAGTTTTTCTCCAAACGCATTCTCACTCCTACCTGTTCCCATACCTACCCACAACTGCTGCTGGTAACAAAACTCTGTCTCCTACTCTACTGGCCCCTTAAACCTTTGAACCTTCTCCCCTCACTCCACTCTCAGCCTAGTTCTTTCTCATAATATCACCTTGGGCCACCCAGAGATTCGGGGGGTGACAAACATTGATAATCTCAGCAAAGGAAGGCGGGGTGTGGAAGGAGAAGAAAGATAGTTAGCAAGTGGCAGGGGGTGGCATGGCAAAAGGAGACCCAGAGCTAAAGACACAGTTCCAGCAGGCAGGAGGGCTGGCCCAGGATGCAGGGGTTGAGAGGCCGAGGGAGAGGCTGGGATGGACCCAGATTCTCAGAAGGCTCAGGCCTAGCACCCAGGGCTCAGGCTTCCAGTGGGGCCTGCTCCCCATGACTGCGTGGCCCTGTGGACAGACAACACCCCAAGTGGGCACCTGGCTGGGCAGCGTTGTTCATGATCCTGATGAGTCTTTCAGCCAGCGGATGGTTGTAGGTGGTCTTCTCGACTGCGTTTGGCACCGGGAGCTGGATTCGCTCTAATTTTTCAGGATCTATGCCTGGAACAGAGGAGAAGGATGTAAGCGGAGGCCTCCTGACTACGTGACCTCCTCATCCTGAAAGGCCCTGCAGAGTGGGGTTTCCTCAACTTCAGCCACATATGTTCCCTCTTGGTGATTTCTTTTCCTTTTTCTTTTCTTTTTTTTTTTAGTTTTTAGTAGAGACAGGGTTTTGCCATGTTTCCCAGGCTGGACTTGAACTCCTGGGCTTCCCCAAGTGCTAGGCCTCCCAAAGTGCTGGGATTACCGGTGTGAGCCACCGTGCCTGTCCCCTCTTGGCACCTGCTGTCATGACTGGTTGCTGTCGGTGCCAAAACTTATTGCAGAGCTCTCCATAAACTGAACTTACATAAACGTATTAAAACATACATTTTCTGTCACTACTTATAAATAGGAAATCAGGATTGATGTAATAATTGCCAGTAATAATTTTTAAAAAATCAAAAAATGTTTTTACATTCTAGCCAATGACTGGTGACTGCCCACTCATGGTGGCCCAAGGCCTGATCTTTGTTAAAAAGGGAGGTTGGCAGGTACTTAATAGTTTTGGAGAGAAGCTAGCTCCAAATGGTGACATTCTCCCAGACATAGCAGAGGAAAGGGAAGGGAGTAGAAAGAGGGGTAACCGTCCCATAGCACAATTCACTGCCACTGGGTGCCAGGTCTGAGGGCCACCTGAGGCCACTCCCGTATTAGGCACCTTCTACGCTTGGGGAAACCCAGGCCTAGAGAAAGAGAGACTATACCCGAAGGAAACTACTGTCATCCCCAACAATTGTGCCCTCAAGCTTTTAACGACAAGCTCAAAAGCTGGGCCCCACCCTCAACATGGGTAGGAGGAATCAAGTTCTGAGTCAGGTGAGGCAGAGGCCACCCCTGCCCCTGAGGGTGACATTAGCAGAAAAACACTAAGCTAAGCCTTTTCTTACAGAAAGGTGCACATACTAGGTTGGCACAAAAGTAACTGCGGTTTTTGCCATTAAAAGCAATTCAAAAACTGCAATTACTTTTGTGCCAACCTAATACAATGACACCAATAAAGCAGAGATCTATCATTAACAGGCAAGGGAATCACCTTTCCTCCAGTGAAAATTCAACAGTTCTTCCTGCCAAAACTAACAGCATTTAAAAGATAAAAGATGAGATGGGGGTGGGGAAGGTAAGTGGAAAGGAAAGAGGGAACAGGCAAGTGTGTGACTTTGAGCCCTGTTATTTCTCCTAAAGAAGCACGCAGGACCCGCAGTGACAGAAGACCTGTTAGGGCTACTAGAACAGTTCCCGCCTGGGGTAAGAGGTCTTCAAACTCCTTATCTGCTCATCTGACATGGCTCTTGAAAAATACACTTGGAGAAACAAATATTTCACTTGATCCAAGCTCAGCGAACTGAATGGATTATTTGTGCTTGGAACACGTCTTTTCCTGTTATTCTACAAAAGGGGGAAAGGTGGCACTTCTCGGAACTCTTGAAATACGGTCCCTTGAGTACCAGATGACGCTTCATTTAGAACCTTGACAAAATAGTGGAGGATAGCATTGAAGAGCTGATTGTCTGGATTCTAAGTAACTCCTGCACACACAGGTTGATGAAATAAGCCATAACAATATATCTTGCTTTTCTGAATTCCTTCCAGCTCCCAGAAAGAGGCTAAGTCATACCAAGGAGATGACCTGGGTGAGGGACGGCATAAAGGCTTGAGTTGGGTAGTATAGTAGTCTCTCTCATGCCCCAAAACGCCCCACAAATTTGGGTTTCCTCAAAAAATTTGATTGCAGTGAAAATTTAATTTGTGGATTCTGTATCCCATGTTAATGCTAAATGTGTAACCCTGAACGATTCTGGCTTATTGAATGGCAAGAGGAAAGTCAACTGAATCTTTTTGGCATTTGTTTTTTCCAGAAATGTTAACACTGTCATAACATCTCTCTACCCACTAATTTCTGGCCCTTTGAGAACTGCCAGTCAGTGGTTCTGGGGGTGGGGGTGGGGAATAAAAGCTCCTCTCCGTCCCAGGTGCATCGCCCAACTTTATAACCCACCAGCAATCACTCCACTTCAGCGAGGACAGCGGAAAGGGCCTGGCTTCTGGCTCCTTCTAGAATGGGGCTGTGGCCACAGAACCATGGAAAGAGGCAAACTAGGACCAGGCCTTGAATTTCCACAGAGAGGTCCGTTTTTGTTTCTTTCCTATCATTGCCCCCTCTGCCTTCTTAGAATTTGTGAACAATGAGGAAATCTGTGGCAAGCTCTTGACAGGAAGAAAAGCGTGTCAAGATGATCTTGACCTTTCTCAACTCTCCATGAAGGGAAGATTCCGGAGGATAGAAACACTTCTCTCTGCACCAGATTCCAAGTCTAGCCCTTTCCTTTCATGAGGAAGTTAAGGCCCAGAGTTGTTAAGCTGTTTCCCCAAGGCCACAGAGCAAGTCAGAGACACGGCTCAAACCACCTTCAGATGATCCCGAAGGTGGGCGGGAGCCAGATGGGAAAGGGTGGCAGCTCCCACTCAGCAAGCCCACCAGAAGCATGCAGGGTGCCCATCCTCTCAGGCTGACAACAGCCACCCCTCTATGTCCCTGGGTTCACTCTCTCCTAGGGGGTCAGCTGGGTACAGCAGGAATGAGAAGCCTAGCGGTGGAGTACGGGAGAAACTTTGTTTTGACACTTTACCTCTTTGAACCTCAGTTTCCTCACCTGTGAGGTGGGAATAATTATGGTAACTACCCGCCCCACAACTGCTATCAGGATCGAAAGAGAAAAAGCACCATCACAGACCAACAACTTTACCTCTCATTATTATGCACAAATGGGAATTTTTAGTTTGATCACTGCTTAATGCATGGATGAGAATTTTTAGTTTGAGCATAACTTGATGTGTTTCCTTATCATTTGTGTTATAAAAGGAAAGTTAGGCCAGGCACAGTGGCTCACGTTTGTAATCCCAGCACTCTGGGAGGCCGAGGTGGGCAGATCACTTGAGGTCAGGAGTTTGAGACCAGCCTGGCCAATGTGGTGAAACCCCGTCTCTACTAAAAATACAAAAATTAGCTGGGTGTGGTGGCACATGCCTGTAGTACCAGCTACTCGGGAAGCTGAGAAACGAGAATTGCTTGAACCCAGGAGGCAGAGGTTGCAGTGGGCCGAGACTGCACCACTGCAGTCCAGCCTAAAATAAAAAAAAAGGAAAATTAGAACAAAAGAACAAAAGGAAAAAACCTAACAAGAGCTAAATCAAGCTACAGACAGCCCAAAAGAGGCATGCTGAGCTGCTGGGGGCCCCTCTCAGGGGACAAGCTGCTCAGGTTGGATCCTAAAGGATGAACAGGAGTTTGCCTTGAGCTGGACAGGGAGGGCCAGGACTTGCCAAACAAAGGTGGGACTGCAGGGAGTGGAGCACAGCCAGGGAGGTCAGGGCGGGGAAGAGCCGGGGAGGGGGGTGATGAGGTGGAGGATGGGGGAAGGGACAGGCAAGGCTTCGTGCCAGGATCCTGCAGGGTGATGCAGTGGAGGGGCCCAGGAGAGGCAGCTAGTGGGCCATGACATGATCTCGTTGTGTCCTGGCTGACTGAGGTGGTCCCATTCCCCTGGCTGCTCCAAGTGGTCTTCATGCTTCCGGCCCTTTCCCCCAAACTGACCTGCTACTGCCATGCAGTCCATGTGAGGTAGATTTTATCACCAGCCCTGGGAGGCAGAGAGCAGAGGTGATTCCACACAGCACACGGCAAAACTATACAACAGAAAACCCTCTGAACATCTCCCTTCTTTCCCCAAAGCTCCTTCTGGGCCAGGTGCCCCATTCTCTCTCCCAGCTCTTTTTCCCACCATGGCCTTTAAAATCCTCTCTGTGACTCTGAACTATCAAGTGTTTCCAAGGAGGCCTTATCATTTACCAAAATACTCAGTCAAAACAAACAACAACAAAATCCCCAGTCTCTCTCGGGAAGGACAAAGTGTCTTTGGAAGGAAGGAGGAGAGGATTCTGCTAAGATGACAAGAATGCCTTCACATGGTAAGCCCTGAAGAAATGGTGACCATCTGCCAGGCATATGAAGTGGAATGCTTCATTTCATCCTCATGACGTTCCGTGAAGTGGCTAATATTATTTCCATTTTATAGACGAGGAAGCTGAGGCTCAAAAAAGACATGAAGCTTGCCTGAGGTCATGCGGAGAGTAGAAAGCCCAGCCCTGAATGCAGCCACCTCACTCTTACCTCCATCCTCTCTGCCGTGTCCCATGATCCCTGCTGGTTAATGCGCTTTCTCTCCACCTGCCCAAGCTATGTGTGTCACGTGATCTAGTGGTGTTCTTGGCACAAACACAACAGCCCATACATTTTTGCTGAATTAATTTTTTTTAAAGTTAAGTAGTTTTGATCAAATTTAGGACAGAAGATCAGACAAATCTCAAAATGAAAGGGAAATGTACATAAAATAGAAGCCACCATATGACAGCTGTGCAGAAAAGCCCAATCATCACCCACACACAAAACAGGCTAGAAAGAAATACGACACTGTCAGCAGCTGGTTATCTTAAGGTGGTATAATCAAAGGCAAGTGAAAAAGCAACTTATTCTCATTTTTGTTTTCCACAACAATCACTGCATGACCATCACTGTTCTTAGGATGGCATTTAATTTGTGGCAAACAAATTTGGTTTGGGTTTAAGCCTCCTGCCTGAAACAATCTGGTGGCTGATGGTTCTGAGTGGCTAAGGTCAATGTCACCATATAACAGGGGCATGCATGTGAAAGGTAAGACGGCTCCTGTGTGCAAGGACATATATATATATACACACACACTCTCTCTCACACACACACACTCATACACACACACACACTCATACACACACACACACGCATACCCCATGGTTCTCAGTCACAGAAAGGCAGGTTTTGCTGCAAATCCAATAGCTTCTTTGCCAGTCATTTCCCTCTTACAGAAATAAACATTGTGGATAATATATGATCTTATTTGCTTCAACTCATAAGTGCCTTGTGACAG